GTTCGAGTTGCTGTATGGACGTCATGTCAGACGGCCCCTCCAGGTTATCCGGGAGAGCTGGGAAGGAGCGGACCAGAGTAGCGAAAGTGTCATCTCACATGTGCTGAAGGTGAGGGAAAGGATGGCGGCGATGACGGAGGTGGTGAGGGACAACCTGCGGGCGGCACAAACAACCCAGAAGTTATGGTACGACAAGAGATCACGCGCCCGCGAGTTCCGCCCGGGAGACCAAGTCCTAGTACTTCTACCCTCGAGCAAGGTGAAGTTGGAAGCTGAGTGGCAGGGGCCTTATACAGTGGCCCGTCGCGTGGGGCCCGTCGATTACGAGTTGGAGACCCCGGAGAAACGGAAGAAGCTCATGATTCTACATGTTAATCTGCTGAAGAAATGGTACCAACCAGCCCCGGCGTGCTTGGCCACCTTTGATTCAGACACTGAAGAGGATTGGGAGGATGCTCAGGAGGTGTCACACCTCCTGGGCGGGAGCGAACCTAACTCCGCAAAGTGGAGAGACGCAGTCGTGGATAAAGACTTGAGTGATGAACAGCGTCAGCAGCTGGATGACCTACTACGAGAGTTTGCCGACATCTTCCAAGATAACCCAGGGCGTACTACCCTGACGGAACACCACATCGACACTGGCAATTCTAAACCGGTACGACAAAGGGCATACAGGGTCGCCCAAGCGCACCGTGAGAAGATGCGGGAAGAACTACAAAAGATGGAGGAAATGGGAGTGATCGAGCCCTCAAAAAGTGAGTGGGCGTCCCCGGTAGTCCTGGTTCCAAAAAAGGATGGTAGCATCCGCTTCTGCGTGGACTTCCGGAAAGTTAATGCTGTCTCGAGGTTCGACGCCTACCCGATGCCGCGGATCGACGAGATGCTGGACAGGTTGGGAAAGGCCAAGTACATCACCAAGATTGATCTGTCTAGAGGCTACTGGCAGGTACCCTTGACCCCCGAATCCAAGTCCAAGACGGCATTTGTCACGCCCTTCGGATTGTACCAGTTTCATACCATGCCGTTCGGGCTTCACGGCGCGCCAGCGACGTTTCAACGACTCATGGACAACATGTTAAGAGGGACAGAAGAATTCGCTGACAGCTATATCGACGACTTAGACATCTTCAGCGATGGCTGGGACGAACACCTGTTGCACCTCCGCGAGATCTTCACTCGACTCCGGAACGCACGCTTGACGGTGAAGCCAAGCAAATGCCATTTTGCGATGAAGGTTGTACCCCTGCTAGGTCACGTCGCAGGGGGCGGTGTGGTTCGGCCAGATGAAGAAAAGGTGCGAGCGGTCAAGGAGTTCCCAAGACCATCAACAAAGAAGGAAGTTCGGGGCCTTCCTCGGCCCTTGGACCAGGATACTATCGGCGGTTTATTCCCCCAGTATGCAGACCTCGCAGCACCTCTCACTGACCTGACGGGCAGCAGGAAGCCACAGGTGGTCGAACGGACCGACGTGTGTGAGGAGGCATTCCAGGTGTTGAAGGGAAAGTTGTGCGACTACCCGGGTATTACAGAGCCCGGACTTTGAGCGTCCATTCGTGTTGCACACTGACGCATCTGAACGCGGCATCGGAGCGGTACTGAGCCAGATGGATGGGAATGGAGAAGAACACCCGGTGGTGTACACCAGTAGGAAGCTCCTACCCCGGGAGCAGAATTATTCCGTACCCGAGAAAGAATGCCTGGCGATCAAATACGCCGTGGAAAACCTGCGCTACTACCTACTGGGCCGGGAGTTCGAGGTGGTGACAGATCACCACCCCTTGAAGTGGCTTGATGAAATGAAAGACAAGAATCAACGCCTGACGCGATGGAGCTGTGTCTGCAGCCCTACCGATTCACGGTGACACACCGGGCGGGCAAGGCCCATGGAAATGCAGATGCACTGTCCCGAGCTTGAGACACAAACCTAGGAGTTGTTACCAATCGTTCGAAGTTGGAACACTTTTTAGTCAAGTTATTCTGTTCCTGTGAACATTATTAAGAGTTAGCGGTGTCTAATTCGGAAAGGACTGACAACCATGGAGACTTTAGTGAAATATAGAGATATAGTTGAGATGCATGCCCAAGTAGTATCCGTTTTTTTTTTTAGTTGTGTATAATGCATGTGGACCACCGGACCAGTAATACGACGATGTGGATTGTAATTAATGAGGACCTAGAGTTTAGAATGGTGATTGAAATGAGTGTTTCAATCAGAAGAAACGGGAGCAAATGTGATGGGATCCAATCGTTTGTACCAGTTTGGCCCAAGAATGTGAAGGCGAGGTCAGTCTAGAGTGGAGACCTAGAGAGGGAGGTCCTGGTGGTGGCTGTCTTAGGATAGGAAGTTGATTAAACAGTTAAAGTTCGGACTCTGTGACTCGGCTCATCATCTGACACTCTTTAAAAGTG